AAGAGAAATGGGAGCAGCCTTAGGACATCCACCAGGAGATGCAGAAGTCCAGGAGGGCTGGGGGGTGATGATGGCATTAGGCAGTGTTAAGAAACTCCTCTGTAGCAAGGTGCAGGAGAAAAATCCCAATAGAGACCCACAGAGGGGTTGTGGGGGGAAGTTTTCAAGGCCATGGGCGTACCTACATGTTCCTATGTGTGCTTGTATGGGATAATGGCAGCAGGCTTTGCTTTTGTGAGGGGCCTCAAACATTTCTTTGCAGGGTTTGTGTGGGCTGCCCAGGCATGGCTGGCAGCAGCAGCACCCATTCACCTCTCTCAGGGAGATTTGCTGCCACAGTTGGTCCCGATTTACAGGGTCTGTCCGAGGTCATACTCATTTAGGGCACTGCACCCTACCCAAGCCCAGGGCAGAGGCACCAGGGGATGGCAGAGCCAAGCACGGCGCTGCCACTGCTGCCAGAGACCCAACAGCTTTTGGTCATGGATAGGGTAAAAAATAAAAAACAAAACACACCAGTCTCTGGCCAAAACTGGGAATTTTTCTTCAGCAAAATGACAACACTCTGCTAGTGAAAATTGCCTTTCATTACAGCAGGGAGGGGAAAGGGAGATAAAAATGAAATAAGCCATGCTTTTCTCCCCTTTATGTTCTTTTTGCAAACCTGTAAGTATTTCCCCTGTCTTTTCCCCCCCAGTTTCCTCCAGCAGTGAGAAGTTTTATTACAATTTATTGTGTATTTGACTAGGAATTTAGGGATCTCAAGCAAATCACAGCCCAGCCTGGCAGCGCTGCTGAGAGACGTGGTGAGAGGCAGGGAACGCTCTGAGCTCGTTTTGCTCTCAATAGAGAAGCCAAGTGTCGGAGGAAAAGTGGATGAGGAGACTTGACCGTGGCCACTCTCAAAAATCAGCGGCAAAAATGGAAACGAGATGCAGATCTCTGCCTCCTAGGCCCTTGGGCAGCTGTCCACCTGGGGATTTTTTCCAGTATCAAGGAGTAAATGCAGTGATGGAGCTGTGATGTTGGAGTCCTAAGCCAGAAGCCAGCTCCTGCCCTTCCTGCTGCTCTGCCCCGTGCCCGGAGCTGTGACAAATGGCACGTGTGGGAACCCATACAATATGGGTGGGGGGCACTTATTTCCCTGAGTGTGCTGTGCAAGCGAATGCCCCCAGCCCAGGCTGGAGACCCGGCCCCTGGGGAATTAGGCAGAGCTTCTTTGCCCATCTCTAATAGGAACAGACCAAAAGATGCCTGCCAAGGTGGTGATTATCCTTCTCGTGAAAAAAAAAAAAAATAGAATAAATATATATATATATATAAGCATTATATCTCTGCCTTTGCAGCAAGGGAGCTTTTGGCATTTTGGCTCTGCTACCGTGGAGCCACCTGGGTTTTGGGGACTCAGGGCTAAGGCACTTGGCTCTCAGCTCTGCCAGCAGCAAGGTGTAACGCTGATCAAATCACTGGGCACTTTGGGATGGGTGGAAGGAGACCCAGCTCAGCAGCTCCTGGGTGTGGGCAGCCCCAGCTCATCCCAAAACACCACGTGCCTCAGTTTCCCTAATCATCACTCTCAGTTTTGTGCTATCGGCGTTGCATTGCCATGCCAAAACCTGATAGAAACGGGTTTCTAAGTGCGGGTGAGCAGCACCCTGGAGCTGAGCAGCCCCCCTGGTCTGGCACCCCCCGTCCACGGTGCCTCTGCTCACCGCAGGCACCCGCACATCCCTCACACGTGCTGCAGTTGGATAACGAACTGGCTCGGGAAACCGCATCCATCCTCCGCCTCGTCTGAAGGCAGATTGCTCACGGGCGCGGGAAATCTCCTGGAGAGTGAACCTTGTCAGCAAAAATGCAAATATTTGGAGACAAAGTGTTCATTACAGCAGAACTTGATTTCAGGGTCAACCCTTTTTGCAGCAAATTGTTAGCCAGCTAAAATGTTTATTGTCACCACACTCTGGCAGTTTTGACAGTACCTATCAAGTTGAGCTTGACAATATCTGCATACTGCTTCCCCGTCTCTCCCTCGCACTGTGATCTGCGAGGTGGTGGAGGAAGCGATTTCAGGCAGAAGCAAACACTCAACAGATAACTGGAGCTGTCCCCGTCTTTGTGACGAAGCCGGGGCTGCTGGGGACCAGGGTAACTGTGTTGGGTGAGGAAGGTGTAACACAGGCTGTGGTAACACGGTGGTGAAACATTTTGGTGAATTTTTTTTTTAATTTTTTTTTTTTTCAGATGCAAAACTGCACACATGGAACAATAAACTCCCCCCGTCTGGCAGTGCATCAGCAGGAACCGGGCTACAAAGGGACAGAATTTCCTTCGGTCTTCTTCCACGGGAGCCATGTGGCTTCCACGGACACGTGCCAGGGAATCTTTCAGATATCAGTGGAGTTTCTGTGATTTTTTTTTCTCTTCCCATTTGTGCTCTCTTTGGCTCCAGGGTTGGATTCTGCTCCCGTTCAGGCTGCAGCAGGGAGGAGGAGCACACCCCTGGGGGATCCGGAGCCCAAACAAACCAGCTCCTGTAGCTTTGCACTGAGCTCTGAGGCTGGAGGGATCCAGGGCCAGCCCTGCCTTGTTGGTAGAGGGGAGCAAAGGGGAGGCAGCAGCAGAAAAAACAAGGATGAGGTGCTTGAGAAACACCAAAACAGAATGGAAAAGGCAGACGCAGTCACAAGACCTGCTTATAACATGGTGGGGCTCCCTGTGCCAGACAAAAGAAAATCTCCCAGCTCTTAGATGAACTAATTTCATCCTGCTTTTGTCTCCTCGGAGTCTTCACCTTTTTCCCCAGCTAATGCATGGGGAAGGTGGGCTGTTCCGGAGCCACTGTGAATTGGTTTCCTTTCCTTGCCTGCCGGAGCTGAGCAAGGGCTGTTTCATCTCAACAGGCTTCTCCCAACACACCTTAATTTGAGATCTCCTGCATGCAGGCAGCAATGAAGTTAAGTGACCTTGCTGAATCCCGGCCGCCGCAGCTGCGTGAGAAGAGGGGAGGAAAAGAAAAGAGGGGAGGAGGAAGAGGCACTTTGCTGTCTCCCATTAAAGCCCCAAGAGGCTGAAGATGAGAGAGTGAAAGTTTCAAATTGCCAGAATATAATTCTGAAAGTCATTTTCCAAGCGCAGAGCTCTCCGCAATGTCACCTCTCATCTTCCAAGGTGGGGACTGAAGGAACAATAAAGCGCAGAATATTCTGAAGAGACAGAGCTGCTAATACAAAGACAGAAGAGGTGCTGGTCCCCAAACAGCCAGCCTCACACCCTCTTCTTCTGGGAGATCTGTGCAGCTCAGACGTACCTGTACTGGGGGACCATTCCCAGCTCCCTTCCCAAGCTGCACAGGTGAGCTGGATGTGGTGAGCATCACTTTTTCCAGCCTTTCTAAGAGCAAGAAACACAAAAAAGCTCACCAATTCAGCAGTTACGCTTTTAATTTGAACCAAACTCCTGACTTCCAATCCAATCCAGTGCTTATGATAATAATAATTATTATTATTAATTTCTTAGCCCTCCCTGAGATTACCAGAAGGCGATGATGGATGTGCAGGAGAAAAGGTGCACTTAGATATTCACCTCCATGCCCCGATCCAGCAAAGCTGTTCCTCCAGGCTCCCCCTTCCAGCCTTCTGCCTTCAAAGAAATCTGAATTAAGGAGCTCGATGCATTCAGCAGAGAGTTCAGCCCGGGATCTTACACCAAAGAGTGAATTAGCCTCTTGTTCTACATTCTTTGCTGACCTTTATTCCAACTGCACCCCCCTATGTTTATAAAATAAAAAATTACCCAAATATACAGGCGTACCCTGCTGAGATAAATTGCATTCAACGCTCCTTCAGCTAATATCAGCTTTGTCCAGCACTCCTTGTTACTGGTGCCACCTGTCCCTCCAAACCCAGGCTTTTCCCCTTTCCCTCTCCCAAATTACTCAAGCTGAGGCCTGGGTGGGCTTGCCCTCTGTCTGCAAGTGCACTTATTTGCCCCCCCAGGTCTGAGCACTGAGTTTTCATACTGACAATCAGGCTTTTTGCCAGGCAATCCCTCCCCTCTTGCACTTTCAGGAAAGGCACTTTCCCCTCTCTGCAGGTCAGAGCTGACTCTCAGAAGGAGCTGGCCATGTTTTTGTCAAGGGTGATGCGGAGAGGGCATGGGGCCACACAACCTGCAGAAGGCACTTTGCACTTGGAGCCAACAAGGTAGCAAAGATCGGTGCTACCGCATGTTGTAATTACAATCCTGGTTAATTTTGCTGGTTAATTTTTATTATCATCGTTATTATTATTATTTCCTGGTAACTATTTCCCTGCTTTTCCATCTGGGAGGCCAGCGAGAGCGTTCCTCGCTGGCCCGTAGCCAGTTTTCTCCAGCTGGGATCGGTTGAGTCCAATGTTGCCATCTGTCCTTGGAGACAGAGGGACGTCCTTTTCCATTTCGGATCTCTCCCAGAAGCCATTCCCCTTCCCCCACGCACTCTGGACTGGACCAAAGCATCCTGTGAGCTGCGTGTGGCCCATGTACACCCAGATCGAGATGCGAGAGGTTCCCTGACCCAGCCACCAAGCTCCCTGGGGTGCCCTTGGGGTGAACTGGGAGGGGGACACACTGTCACCCCACAATCAGCCATGGGCTCTCTTGGGGTCTCCCTGACCCGTGAGAGGTGGATAGGGCTCCGGGGACGCTCAGCCTGGAGAGGGTGTTGGTTATAGGATTGTAACCCCCGACTGGAACACGCGAGTTATCGCTTCGTCTCTCTTCCAATTAAAGACACGGAGATGCTTGGCCTTTGGGAGGTGGGGGGGTCGGGGGGTGGGGGTGGGGGGGGGCAGAGCCATTGTGCCGGGCCCCGGCCCGCCCCCGCCCATTGGCCGCCGAGTGCGCTGCAGTGATTTGGCGGCGAGGTGCCATTGGCCAACGGCGGGGATAAGTTTTTGCTCCGGCCGGGAACTTTTCCCAGGGAGGGAGAAACCCCCACGGAGCCTCCGCTCCCTCCCTCCCCGCCGCCGTCCAGCCGCCCCCCCCCCTCCTCCCTCCCCAGGCCCTCTCTGTTCCTCTTCCCCGCCGAAGGCAGCCACCGCTCGCCGGCAAGGATGAAGCTCTGCGGGACTTTCCTCGGTTCGTAGCCGTTCGCCGGCGGATGGGGCGGAGTGGGTGGGTGGGTGGGGGGGGGGGCGTGGGTAAGGGTGGGGGGCGTGCTGGGTGCCCCCACTCTCCCCTTGTTTCTGAAGCTCTCGAGAAGTTTAACTCTGCCCAAGCCCCTCCTCGCAAAGGGGCTCGGTGGGCTGGGGGGAAGGCGGTCCCACAAACGCTCCCCTTGTTCTGGGCTGATTTTCGACTTTTTTTTTTTTTTTTTTCCCCTAATGTCATAGCGGAAAGAGTGTTTCAGAGCACAGGTTTCCCGAGTTTGCATTTAGCAGGCGTGATCCCGGCCCCGTATCCCCTCCGCTTTTCTCTCCGGGCGCGGCCCCGCGGGGCTACAGGTGCGCGGGGACGCGCGCGGCCCCGGGGCTGCTGCTGCTGCGCGCCTCCGCCGGGCTTTGTCCCCTCTGCCGCGGCTCCCAGCTGCTTACAAAGGGCAGGGGGGCGAGGGGAGCAAATCCCGTTTTCTGCCACTTCTGGCACAGTTCTGCTAAGTTTGGGTTGGGTTTTTGCTCCCGCACACGGGTGGGTAACGGAGGGGAGGGGGTGGCACGCGACAAAAGGTGAAGTCGCTTGGCCGGGGGGGGTGTTTCGGTGCCTGCATTAACCGAGGTACAAAGGGAAAGTGCTGGGCTAACGCAAGGTGCCTCTTGCAAAAGCCGCCGATTGCTTCAATTGTCGCTTTTTTAGGGAGAAAAGAGCTCTAGATGGGGGTGAGACAAAGGCATCGCCTCTTCGGGAAGGAACCGCCCAAATCGGGGAGAAGGGGCGCGCCAGAGAGCGAGCAGAGGGTTATTAAAAGTTTTTTTTCTTTTTTTTTTTTTTTTTTTTTTTTTTTTGTGCCTGTGCATGTTGTTCCATCTGCCAGGGGCCTGTAGTGGGCAGGTTTCTTCGCAACCCTTCAGCTGTTCCATATACAATATTAATGCTGGCCATTTCTATTCGGCATACAACGGCACTAATTGTAGTCTGAGGCATTAAGGCAGCCAGCCCATCTGCATAGAAGCTTTCAGAAAGAAACAAGGAAAAAATCTTTCACCCCCAGCTGGTAACCGGAGAAGCTGGTGCCAATTACAAATGCATAAAGTTTGAGATCTAAATTACTTCGGAACAGTCTCAGCGAAGCAAGCGAACTGCAGCACGGCGTTTTTTATGTCTGTATTTACACAAGCAATTGCAGTTTTATTTTAAATAACCTGAAACTTGAAACGCCTGATCTGAAAAGCTGAGCATAGAAAGACGTTAAAATAAATAAAAATACTGCATGGGGACAGAAGCGAAGGGACTCCACTTAAAAAAAAATAAACCCTTCTGGCATTCATTTCTGTAGGCGACGTTCAGTCAGTGCCCTCAGCGTACCCGTCTCAAACAACGCTGCAAAGGCGAAAATATTGGAATATTTTTATTTTATACCTTTCCGCTGCACGGCTCCCCTCGGGGATGCGGCAGCTCTTTCAGACCTGGGAGCGCACGGTAATTACTTGCTGCCTGAAACCGTCTGTGAAGTGACTGTGGAGCTTAAAAATAAAATAAATAAATAAAAAGTGCGAAAATGCCTTAAAAGCCGGACGGGGGCGGCCGGAGCTGTCCGCTGCCGTGGTGCTGAGCCGCTGCTGGCACGGCTCGGCCCGGGCTGCAGCCCCCCCCCCCCCCCTTAGGGCTGCCCCCGGAGCCTGGGGGGTGCCGGGGGGGTCTGGGGAGTCCCGCTGCTTGCTGGAGCTCTTGGTGGCGACTGGAAGGTGGGGGTAAGGGGCCGGTTGGTTGCACCGTTTTGGGGAGGTTTTGAGGCTGGAGGACGGTGAAGTTGGCGAGTTTGGGAACAAAGGGGAACCAACCAGCCTCTGGGAACCCCGAGCTTAGGAAAAGGTATCAAAGCTGCGAGCTCGAGCTGCCTTAGGGCTCCCTGGGTGCACCGCGTGCTAATAAATGCAAGAGCAGCAATAATAAAACACCTCCGTGCTGATGCTCAGGGGCACAGGTACGTTTGCACATCACCCGCATTTGTATACGAGCGGCGGTGCACGCACAGATTTATGTGGGAGCACAAGAGAAAGAAAGCACCTCCCTCCTGCCTCCCGTCCTGGCTATTATGCTTTTGTTTCTCAAGTTTTAGCGTTGCGTGTCTAAATGAAATAGCGGTGGAGAGCACCAGGCAGCATTGTGGGGAGAGGCGCTGAGCCCTCCCGGCCCTGCCTTTGATTCTATCGCGGGCGCAGAACAATGGGGCTGCGGTGTAGCACCGGGCCTGCTGCCTGCAGATAAGAGTTTAATAGAATTTCTGAATGCCAAAGGTTTAGGATGTAAAATATCCCCGTCTTCGTGGTGTGTCCAAAGGAGATAGAAAACGGCTTTTCAGGAGCACTCTCTGCTGAATACCTCCTTTATGCTCCCGGGTTAGGAGCACACCAGGCTTGCGAGCCATGGAAATGAGCATCGCAAGAATTTCCAAGACTACCTCGACAGTTTAAAATGAGTATTTTTATTTTTTGTCACCCTTTTCTCAACAAAACGCCCGAAACGATGGATTTTCTCAGTGTCCCCCTGCCATGGCCCCGTAACAATCCGTGGGCAGGACGGGGCTGCATCCTGCGCTCCTTCCAACCCACGGTGCCTGGAAGGGTCCCAGCAGAGCTGCTGAGATTGAGTCCCCGAGCAGTGCCCAGGGCTTTTTCCAAGGTTTTTCCCTTTCTGTTCCCCCAGGAGCCGCTCCGATGCGGGGCAGGGAGAGGGTAGGACCCGGCTTTCCATGCCTGGGGCTCCCTTCCGCATCTTTTCGGAAATCTTCAGTACAACACCAAAGTCTAAATCAGTGCCGGGGGACGCGTGAAGGTGCAGGGAAAAGTGCTGGGTAGGAAGGCGAGCCCCCGCTCCTCCTGCCCCGTTTCCAAAAAGTTGCCAGCAAAGTGTTAATGCGCCCCTCTGCCGGGGGGGGCACCTGCGGGGGTCTCTGCAAGGAAAAGTGCGGCTCTCCCCGGGGGGGGAAAGCAGGCAGCCGGGCAGAGCACAGGGCTTTGCTCACTTAAAACACCCCCCGAACTCTTTCAGCCACCGTTTTCTTTTGGGACTTATCCTCCCGGTCTTCTCCTCCCCGTCCCAAAGTCCTGAACGAGTCGGGGATCCGTCCCTCGTGGGGTGAGGCGACGTCTGCCGGGAACACCTTGTGCCATTTATTTTCTTTAAGGGGAAGGAAAAAAAAATATTTATACACCTTTTAAGCGCTCGCTTTTGAATATGTATATCAGCTAATATGCAATGCTTCCAGGTTCATAGAGGCGATAAATTTCCCAGTCTGTTCTTTATGGTGATAGGTCATCTTCCTAACCACCAATAAATATTGTAAAGTACTTTCGCTGGAGCTGTGCTAACCCAGGGCATCTGTCACTCGCTGCTTGCTGCTATTAGGAATTATTGGGCTGTACCACGCCGAGGGATGCGCGGGGGGGACGGCACGGTGCTCGTCGAGCTCGCCGTCCTTTTGTGTTGCTGCCATCAAAGGAGCCCCGAGCCTCGTGCATATTAATTATGAATCAGCTCGGGCAAAAATCCCTCACCTTCTGCCGGCTCTCGGCGAGGGGGAGCGGGAGCGAGAGGGGCCGGCGGGGCTGGGAGAGCCCCAACTCTCCGTGCGCTCAAGTCAGCAGCTCCATCTCTCTCTCTCTCTCTTTTTGATGCTATACTGTAAATTTATTTCACCTCGGAGAGTAAACAGATATATTGCAACCCCAAGGGTTCATGGGTAGTGTATTTACAAAGGGAAGGCGCAGCAAGCCCCCTCTGTGCCATTTCCATTAATGAGAGCGGTCATTAAGTAAATGAGACATTGCCTTTAGCAGGCTTAAGAGTTCACACACTAAGGAGTATCAGATATTTAATTGAAACCAACAACCCGTCTTACACGCGTGTTACTGGTGTAGGGAAGTGGGCTGCCCTCCAAGAACTCTCCCCCCACAACCTCCCCCATGCAAATTTCATGATTGGTTTCCGTGATGTCATTTTGCAAAGGGGCAGACAATAGCTGTGGGGAAAGGTAAGTCAATATTATGTTCTTTCGCTGACAAAGGCAGATAATGCTGGCTTTTTTTTTTTTTTTTCCTTTTCCTCCTCTTTTTTTTTTTTTTTTTCTTCCCTTGGATTGAGACAGAGGGGAAAGGCTTTCGGAGCACACAGTTGATGTAAACAGACGCAGGCGTTTCGCCTTTAGAGCACGAAGGCTGGGTTGTTGTTTTGAAAATTGCACTGGAGAACCGAGGGGATTTTATGATGATCATCATGCTCCTAGGTCCATCTTTGCTCGCTCGCTCTCTCGCTGGCTGCGAGACGCTAGTGGACATATTCTGCTTCTGACTGAAAAAGAGCTTGAATAAGACGAGGAAGGAGGAGATTTTTTATTATTTTTTTTTAATATATATATAAACAAGACATCGTTTTCAGCCGGGAAACTTTCTGAATATTTCTGGAAGAGGATGCTTGCCGGGTTTGCGGACCGGGGGATCGGTGGATGTTTACCCGGAGGGCAGCGAGCGCGGTGTTAGCAGAAGACGCCGGGGGCGCCGGGACGCGGAGCTCTCGGAGGTGCTGATCGCGGTGCGCGGCCGGGCTCGGCTCGTCCCTCTCCGGGCTCCCCCCGAGCCCTCGGTGCCCTGCAGGGCCCCCAGCCCACCCCGGGGACCCCTCGGGGCTGGGGGGGGGTGGGGGGGAGCAGCGCTGCCAGCAGCGGGGCTCCGTGTGCGGGGCTTGCGCTCGCACGCCCCAGCCTCTGCCCTGCTCTTGCCATGAGCGCACTTTTGGGTTTTGTTTCTTTATTTTTTTTTTCTCCCCTTCCTCCCCCCCCCCCTCACTATCGACTCCTTGAGACTTCTCTATTTATAGCAGCGAGGAACAAGGGAAGCGTGCCATGTTTGTGGATTTCTTCTCCCCGTGCGCTGACCGTGGCAGAGATCTGCGGGCTCTTATTTTTAGCTAGCTCGGAAGAGGCTTTGCTCGCCTAATCCCTTTATCAATTTCAGCAAAGTTTGGTGGTGCTGCTGGCGATGTTGTTCTGTCGATAATTCAGGGGGAAGGGGCTCGGTGCCCTGGGAAATGCTGCCGCTGCGATGGAGCCCGGCGAGTTAGGCTGAGTTTGGGGCGCAGCTCCCCGGCGGGCAGGACCGACCCCCCCCCCCCCAGGGGAGGTGTCCCCAAGAGGGTCCCGAACCCCCCCGAGGCTCTCCCGCACTCCAGGGGCAAGGTCGCGAGCATCAAACCCCTATACCAGGAGGCACGGGGGGGCGGCCTAATGTCAGCCCCCCCGGAGCCAGGCTACTGGGGCGTTGGGGGGGGGGCAGCTGCCCTTTGCTTCCCAGACCTTGCCGGGCCGCCTCTGGCAGGGCACCCGCGACCCCAAAAAGCGGTGGGGGGCAGCCGCAAGCCCCCTCCGCTGCCCCTCCCCTTCCCTCCCCCCCCCGCTATTGTTGAACCCCCTCGCTCCGAGCAGCCTCTGCAAACAAGTGCAAAAAGCCCCGGGTAAATCTCTCGCCCTGCCGCTACTTTTAGTTATTTCTCTTTTCTTTCCCTTTTTCCCCCCTCTCGTTGGCTCATCTGCTGTTATTATCAGCCTTTTCCATATGGCCACTTTAATTAATGGCAGACAAAAGGGAGGGGGGCGCGAGGGGGGGGGGGGGGAGTGGAATCTAGGAATTAGAGTTTATAGTTGGGTTGTCTCCGATGCTGTCATAGAAACCAGAAGCAAAGATGCCGCCTTTCCACTTCTTTGTATGATCCTGTTTATTGTTCCCGAGCGGCGCAGGCTGGAGCAGCCGCGTGTTGCAAAGCTCAGCCCCGCGCCTGCTGCTCGGAGCCCCCCCCCCGGGCTCGCCCCGCACAACTTCTGCCCTTCGGCTCCCCTTCTCCCTGCCTGCCCTCTTTCCCCCATCCTTCCCCTCTTTCTGCCACCTCGGGGAGGCCGAGGATCTCCTCCCACCCTTTTATTATTATTATTATTTTTTAAAGTGGTTTAGCGATCTGTGGCATCCCGACCGCACGGACGCGAGGAGTAGGAAAAACTCCCCAAAAGTTGACTTTGTCCCGATCCCAAAAGCAAGCGGGGACGCCCCCCTCGTGTCCTGGTGGAATTTGGGGCTGGGGTCTCGGGAGCGGTGGGTCCGGCTCCATCCCGGACCGGTGGCACTGTGAGGGGGGTGGTCTCCGTGCCCTGGGGGTGGGCAGCAGCTGGGGGCTGACCGGGGGTCCGGTCCTGGGGAGGTCTGTCCGGGCTGGGCCGTTTTGTCCCCCGAGCAGCCCGAAGCCCCCAGCCCTACTACAGGGGGTCCCGCTGCGGGAGGGGGGCTCCAGGCAGCGCTCAGTGTCCCTGCGGAGTGTCACCTCGGTAGCTTTGGGGTGGGGGGGGTGGCAGTGACCCCTACCCTCCGGCCAAGCCCTTGGGGCTGGAGGGGGGGACACCTCTCCCCTTCCCCTCCCCGTCCCTACTGTTGTGGGGCGGGGGAGGCGACAGCGGTGCCACCACGCTCCCTTTGCCACTCTGGGTTCATCCTTGTCCCCAGAGTCTCCCACGGAGCCGGGGAGGGGGCAAACACCCCGAGGACCCCCCCCCGGGCTTCTGTTTTAAGAGCTGGGCTGGTAAATCGCCCCGGGCTGGGCTTGGGGGGGCGCAGGGAGCCCGGGTGACATCCAGCCGGGGGAAGTCATCAGGTCGCCAAATAACCCAGCCGGGACGGGACTTCGGCGAGAAACCGGGGGTCCGGGGAAGGGGGTCCGGGGGTGCGCAGCTCCGGTTCTGCCCCCGGCCCGGGGCGGGGGGGGGCGGCGCCGGGAGCGGGCCGGCCCCGGTTCCTGGCAGTCAGATGATGGGGAGGGCAGGGCTGACTTTGCAAGACGTAGCGCGGCGTCAGAGCAGCTGCCATTTTAGCAGACATTGTTAAACTGCCCCCCCCCGCACCCCCCCATAACTTGGCTTTAGGGCGCCGCATCAAATCGGGCTCCTTGGGTCGTGCTCCTCTTCGGGTGCACAACGACCAAGAAGTCAGCAGTGCGCCCTGAGCAAGCCGAACAACGCAGCTTTAGGGGCTCAGGGATATAAATACGTCTTTTCCCCCCAAACCCCAACTTGCTTCTGTCTTGGGGTTTGGGGGGGTGGGGGGAGTGGCAGGTGACTTTATTCCCTGAGCCCCAGAAATCGATCGGTGTGATGCAAAATGGTCCCTAGCTCCCGGTCTGGCGAGGGATGGTCTATTTTTGAGTCCTGGGGAGTGCTGATTTTGCCGGGGGTGCTTGCATCTGCCCCCCAGAGCTGAGGGACGAGGGGGAAGCGGCTGGCTTACAGTAAAGGCTGGAGTGTGCAGGGGAAATCGCCTCGGCTGGGCTGGGCTTCCCAGAAGATGTGAAATCAGCCCTGGGAAAGAAGGGGGGGGGGAGGCCGGGGGAGGCATCGCCTTACCGCTGGGAAGTCAGATGTGAGCGCTGATGGTGAAGTGGGGGGCAAGACCCGCTCCCCCCTTGGCTTTGTGTCCTTGTGGCAGCCTGTGAGTGGCAAGGGCTTATTTTTACAGCTGCGAACTGGACGGCTTAGTTGCTTGAGCTCTTCCCTTAACGACAAAGGACGTCTCCTGTCACTTTCTCGCTGCTGCCCTTTCTTCTGCGTGGGAGCGGAGGGTGGAGGATCCACGCTGCAAACTTCCAGAGCTGGGAGTGCTCCCATCGCCTTCCCCATCAGCTCTGTGCCGTGCAGATGCTGATTTACCCTCAGCCGAGCAGGCAGGGGTGCTGACACCCAGGAGGGCTGAAAAGGTGGCCCCAGACCCTGGGTTTATTGCTCATTTGGGGAAGCAGCCCTACAGCAGCAGTCTGAAGGATGCCCCGATTAACTCCTGCCCATCCCCTCGGTTCCCAGACACTTCCAGAGTTTTGACAGGGTGGAAGTTGCTGTCAGGAAGCCTCGCTCTTTACACTTTTCTTTCCACTTTTTTTCCTGATTTTTGCTGGGTTCTGCAAAGAACTCCTGCAGATCTGTGCTGGTGTCCATGGGCACGTGCTGCAGGGTCCTTGGTGTTTGCTGGCTGGCACCGCTGGCAGCCTCGGGGCTGTGTGAAGCCTCCCACAACCTCAAACACTCCGTGGTGGTGCTGAGGATGCTTACCTCTGCGAAATAAACTCCATCCAGCAGCTAGTCCTTAGCAGATGGTGGTGTGAATACAGAAGCGTGTGCTGTGAAGTTTTGGGGCGAGGTGAGATGCCCCAAACCACCTTGCTCCTAGTGAAATGAATTCACACGAGGCTCCCGATCTGGGAAGCAGGTCATGAGTAATACCAAAGAGCAGGGCTGTGGCATCCCTCCGGCTTCAAACAGAGGTGGGAGGAAATCTGTCACCCTTCAGTCCCCCCGGTTATTTTAGCTGAGGAGAGAAGAGCTCCGTGTGTGTGTACGCTCGGAGGAAACAAGCTTCCCCTCTCGGTAGGCTGCTCTGATAATTTCTGAAAGTGCAGCGTTTGCTCTTGCAGAGCTCGCGAGCTGCTCGCTGGGAGCTGCTGCGCGGTGGCTTGGCCCTTGGGGACAGGACTGGGACACTAAATGCAAAGGGCATGTTCCAGGGGTGTCCTCTCCGTGCAGGTCTGCTGGGTTTTCCCTGCCTGGTGTCCCCCAGGAGGGGATCCCAGAGCTGCTGTGACTGTGGTGTGTGCTGGAGGGGGGGCTGCTCCTGCCCTGCCACCAGCTGGGGAGGGGACACCTTGGTAGCATGAACACACGCTAAATATTCATGCGCAAAGACTGTAAGCATCAAAAATCACCCAAACGGGGTCATTCTTGGGAAATCTGGAACACTTTGCGGAATTTTTTTGTGGACGCTTATGGATGGCACACGCTGGAGTTGTAAGGAAAAGTGGCTGAATACACAACACAAGCCTAGCGTGGAGGTTACTCATCCCTGCAACGCTTCTGTGAGGTCTTGCTGTGGTTTTGCAGTGGGGACATTGAGGCAGAGGAGGATTCGGGGCCAGGAAGGCCCAGGCCAACTGGCTGGGATGTGAGAGTGA